CAGCATCCCCTACTTCCCACTTCCACTTTCCCTCTCAGGAGGTCATTTCTTGTGAGAAGTTACAGACCAGTTCTCCTGATCCCTCTTGTATGCATCCCCATGAGCTCAGCTCATCTTACATTATTTCTCTGAGCACCCTCCGCTTCTTTTCACTACTTCAATTAATCATTTCTTTATTGTTACCAGTTGTGTAAATGTTTAGCTTAATGTCTGCCCTACCTCATAAACTGTAAGCTCCAGGAGAGGAGGGACCTTATCTGTTCGTGTTATCACTAGTATGAGCTGACAAATTTGTTAAAATATGGGCTAAAACAGAATTATCTCTTGGAACCTTCAACACATTAACTCCTTAAGAAAACCTAACAAAACCTAAAACCACTACCAAGACACTTCATTAAGAATACTCAATAAATAAATATTAAGTCTTGAGATAAATAGGAAAAGGAATCTAGTACATTTATATATATGTCCAAAGCTTCCCATGCTATTGAATGGACAAAGAGGCTTTTACTAGAATCTTCTAATATGACAAGTAAAAGGGTCAAACTAATGAGTGGTGAATCTTATCCTCATAAACGTATACAAAAATACCATTAAAATTATAGATATTATTAGAGAAATATGGGGGAAATCAGAGGTCTTTTCATTAGAGTCTACAAAAAAACTAAATAAAATGTTTGTTCATTATGGAAATAGACTATTTTTATAATGGAAAACATTTTTACCATAGTACTATGTAGCCAAGATCAATAGAAATTAAGCATAACTTATAAGATTTTAATATTAGAAAACTAATTGAAAAACTCTTTACCAATCAGAACAGAGATAAGACCTTATTAGGTAATCAAATATATCAAAATTAGTAAATAGATTATTCACTGGAGTCTACTTACAACTACCAGTCTTTTCTACCTATTGCTAATGCTTATAATCAAGGAGTAACTGAAATTTATTTTCTTTTCATTTAATCAGTGTGCTTTTGGAGCAGACAGCTTGTGTTCTCTGCCATGTACAAACGTGGGGATTTAATTTAGATTTTAATAATTGAATGAGATAGTGTAACAACCTTTTATATAAATTCATCATTTCTTATCTTTCCCAAAGCACAAAATGTCCTGTATGCCATAACCATTATTGTTTACCTTTCAGGAAGGTTTTTGTTTAAATTTCTATAACTGACCTAGGATTGCAAATCTGTCTTCAGAATACAGCATGAGCAGCTTACTATTCCAGACCCGGTGGGCCAGGAGCTCACAGCCGTAACTGCGAGACTGTGACACAGCTACGTTCGCTCCTTGCTGTACAGAGTCTCAGGGACTGAAATATCTCTTTCCGAAGAGTTCAGATGTATCACTCTCATTGCCTCCTGCCTTTTTGAAAAGTTGGAAATCTGGGTTTGGGTTTGAGAATTTCTTTATGTCTAAAGGTTTCCTTTCTTTCCTTTCTCCCTCTCTCCCCCCCCCCCTTCTCTCTCTCTCTCGGGGGGGCGGGGGAAGGGGGGCAATGCACTCCCTGGGCTGACTTTCAAGAGCGAGCATATTCTTTGTTCTATTTTTTGCTAAGTGTATTTGTGTGAGCATAGATTCAGTGGTTCAAAAGCATAATCAGTGAGTCTCTAGTTTATCGTTTCCAGTTTTTCTGAAGAAGAGGGAATACATGCTGCCGGGTTCTTGGTGACACAGTCGAAGCAGCTGTGCTGAGTGGCTAAGTGGAAACCACATCCATGGAGCCTCCCAGGGAAAGGCCAAGTGGGCAGGGAACTGGGCACTGTTCCTCACCGGTCAGGGTGGCACAGCCACAGCTGCTCTAGGGACCTCCTGTCCGCGTCCCATTAGGGGGGCCTGCCCTTTGCTGCCTGCTGGAGCCCTCACAGCTCAGCTTCTTTCTAGCTTCCCTCTCTCTCTCTCTCTCTCTCTCTCTCTCTCTCTCTCTCACACACACACACACACACACACACACACTCACTCTGTAGCCCCCTCCTCCTGGTTTGCTGTTCTAGGTTGTGCGTGAGTGTCGCACAGTCACAGCCCCTGGAGAGACCCTCCGGCTGGGTTAGATAGCGTTGGACACAGAGCGCCGCGACTGGGCAAAGTTTGGGGCAATCACCTCTCATCTACAAGGGGGATATCAATACAGGGTCAACCATTTACACTGAAATGCTTTGCAAACAAGGTTAAGGGACACTTTAGAGCCACCGTTGGTGCATTCCTCTCTTTAGGCCTCACAGCTAGTCAGGCACCAAGCCTTCAATATGTTCTTTGAAATGAGGCCCGTGCCCCTTTCTCTCGCCCCTTCTTCCTTCGCTCTGCTCCCACGTAGCTCTGCACTTGCCTGCTGGGCTTCTGGGGGAGGTGAACAGCCTCCCAGACGGCCCAGCCTCAGGCTAATTCTCCCCTCTCCTGTCCCCGCTCTCCATCCCTTTCCCCGCATTGCTTTTCTACTCAAACGTCTTCAGCGAGCTTCTACTTCCATCACATCACCCCTTCGTCATCACATCAAAACTTATTAAAGGTGTGAGCAATGCCCTTTTCATCTTCGTACTTTCATTTCCATCTTTTTCATCTTTGTATTTTCCAATGTGTCTGACACAAAATAGATGCTGAATATATAATGACTATATGGTGGAAAGTCAGTTCTTAATTTTCAAGACTTACATCCAAACATTTCTTAAAGCTGTTGTTTTCTACCTCAATCCAAGCCCTTATTAATTTCACTCTCCCTTGAACCCCTACAATATTATTACAGCAAAGAATAGAACTTTTAGCTTGCTATTTGTCATGGTTTGTTACTGTTGCGAAGTCTTTCAGTTCAGTTAGTTTATAAACTACATACTTCTGAGCATACTACTGAGCAGATGGTAGCAGCTCTCCAAGTCCACATATAATTGTTTATTGCTTGCTGAGAACAATCCTACAGTTTGTTTTTACCAAATTACATCATAATGAATAATGGGTACGTGGGGCTTCCAGATCTTTTCATAATATATTTGGTTATAACCAAATCCTTAATACAAATAATATGAGGCCTGTCATAAGACTGTAGGAGAAGCCTGTAAAGTTAACAGAAGTTTCACACTGTAGGCCATGAGTCTTACAACAGACCTTTCAGCTAAAATATATGAAAAAGAAACAGAGCTAGGTAGGTGGTATATCAAATTGTATTAATTTATATTACAATTTGTATTATAATTTCTATTACATTTGTACTATAATGAATCCTTCACTTCTGAATTTGTCTTTGCTTCCAAATGATCCCTACACACTCATTCAATCTCAGTTGATAAGCAAAGTATACTCGATTAAAGACTGCTTCCAAATGTGAAAAGTCAGTCTAGGAGTCACAATTTCTCTGTGTTTATAGGCATGGATTTGATATGTAAATGTTCTGAATTATGGTATTTTGACCAACCAGCTTTACTCCTAAATCTGATATCCAAAGGAGCTTTGCCCAACATTCTTCAGAAACAGTCCCAGCCCTGAGATCAAACACACCTTTAAAAATATTTCCATATTTTATTTCTCATTTTTTTTAAATAAAGAGGGAAAGCATTTAAAATCTCCATTCAGTTACATAGAATTGGAATACTGCTATGTAACAGGAATCATCACACTAATGCACAGGAATTAAAAGTCAAGCAACTTTGGTCTAGGCTGATTGAATTGAGTCTTGACTTTGTAAACATTTCCATAGGAGGTAGAACATACACATTTGACTTTCTGTCAAATAAGAGATAGTAAACAATGAATCTGAGATCTAATATATTAAAGGTATTTCAAAGGCATTAAATAAACTTTTCTCTTTTTTAGAAACCAAAGATGAAACAGCACACAGGTTTTCAATAAATTAGGAAGTGAAATATTAAATCTTCGTAGTTTAAATGCTTGCATCTTTGAAGCTCCACTGGTTCCATTTGATAATATTTTGAAACTATGATTAATAATGAGATCACATTTTAGATAATTTGTGCGCAAAGCAAACTGCAAGTATCTCCATTCACTATGGAGTTGTCCATTGTTTTGTCCCAGTGACTTGAAAAACGATGTCCTGACACCACATAATTCATTGTCTTCACTCTGATGAGGGTCTGAGTAAATAATATTTAGCAGGAGGGATTTTTAGAGTTGACCCCCCCATCATCTGTCTAAGTGCCTCCGGCTGCTGCCCCCAAGAACACAGTGTTGATGGGGGGTAGGGAGGACACCATTTCTCCCCCGTTGGCGCCGTGCGAGTCCAGGGTTTCTTGAGCCGGGTACTGACCGGAGGTTCCGTACATGCACTGAGAGGAGGAGGGAGGAACTGGGGTTTGCAGGCTGGGTGCTGTAAGGGAAAATACAGTCAGCAATTGAAAATTGACATTTCTTTTCTTGGCAAGTGCCACTCACTGTAAGCCTGTGTTTATTTTTGCATTTAGCACGCGTTCGGTACTAAATTTGAGTGTGGATGGCTTCTCAGAGCCATCCCTTTGACCTTTCTTCCATTTCCCCCTTGCTGTTCTTTCAGAATTGATTTCTACACAGTTCACAACAAAAAGTCAATGTCAAACTTAAATTCACATAACTCTACCTCCAAAAGATATACTCAATACTCCCCCTCTTTCCACCTGCACCTCCACAGCTCTAGTTCAAACCACCGTGTCTTACCTGGGCCCACACAGCAACCTCCCAGTTAGTCCTGGGCCCTCACCTCTGCCCGCCCTTGCACCCTGCGAGAGCCAGGGTCATCTTGCCCAACACTACATCGGATTGTCAGTCTTCTCAACCGTTACAACGACTTCCCCTTACACTGAGAACAAGATCCAGGCTCCTCGCCCTGTTCATAAGAACCTGTGTGAATTTATCTGCCTTCTTATTTATTCTACTCCAATCTCTTCTTCATTCACCATGCTCAAAACATGCTGGCCTTCTTTCTGCACATTGAATTTCCCAGTCTCGTTCCCATTTCAGTCGGTGCGCTTGCTGTTTCTTCTGCCTAGAACTCCACCAGATCTTCATGTCATTGCCTCCCCATCACTCAGCTTTCAACTCCAATGTTTCCACCTCAGGTTCCCTTTTCCAACTACCTTACCTAGAAGCACCTCCTCCATTCATCTGTCATTTTACCCTATTCAGTTGACTTCAGGGTGCCTGAAATTATTTTTTTCAGTGTATTTGTTATATATTCATTGCTTTATCTCTCTTTACTAAGACATAAACTTCTTATAGGCATCAACTCTGGCCTGATCACTACCATAGCCTCACACCTATAATGAAGTTTGGCACATAGTAGGTTTTCAAAAATCGGACTAACTGGCTCACTAACACTAAATGTCTTGCATTTATGGTTGCTGCCTTGTCATTATTTTTCTTTTCTTATTGTTTTAACTACCATCTTCTCCGTCACCAAAAACCAAGATAGTATAACTCAGCAGATATAAGGTGGGTGCTCACTCCCCTTACATGACTGGCTCATTCTATTCCCTCTCCTCACCCTGAAGCCCTGTGTGCAATTTACTTGTAAGCCAGCCCTGACAACTAAAGCCTAGAATGCATCTGACACCTAAGCTATGTTCCGTCCAAGCTTCCGCTATCTCTACAAGTAAACAGAACTAATAGTAACAATAGCAACACGGTACATTTTAGCCTCACAGTGAGGAAACTTCCTGAAGTGGAATTTTCTGCTTCATTAGAGTAACCTAGAAGCAATGGCCATCTGCAGACAGCATGAGATGAGCTACTAGACTCTGCTCAGGGAGCATCTGTGATGGTCACAGGAAGGGAAGAAGTGCTTCCTATTGAATTATTAGAAAAGCACACTGAGTGGGGAGAGAGAGAATTTATCTCATTTCCCTTATGCCCTGGCTGGGCGTTAATGCCCTTTACTTATGCTAGTCTGAAATCAACTCCACTGGAAGGTTTCAACGATCTCACAGAAACATGAACACTCTGCCTTGGTACTCACATGGATATATACTTGTTCTGTGATACCTTATTAGTAATTTTGGAAACTAAATCTTTATGTATATTTTTCTCCTTTTTTCAGCTCTGATTTCTTGAGTTCCTACTATGTGGCAGACACTTTGCTGGGTGCTGGTGATGCATCTAGTTCAAGTTTCAGGATTTTCTTAGACACAGCAACCTGGGTGGAAGAAGATGCTATGGGATGTCGTGGCAAACACACTGTTTTGCTCATTTTTACTTAAACTGTATGTTATAGAACAACAAATATAGAAACATTTTCTACAGAGGTATCTAATCACATTTTACATGTACCTGAGAAAATGATAGTAATCTCCACAAGTCAACAATTTTTTAAATGGAATGAGTTTAGGGTACTGATGGAGATTATGGGGATCCAAAGATACCTGTTGGCACTGCCCCTGGGTCCAGCCAGGAACAAAAGAGTGAGAAAAAGATACCATTGCTGCTCTCATAAAACCTACAGTCCTTTAGACTACCCTTGACAGGTTATATTCATTTTTGCATACATAATAGATGCCAGCCATTCTTTTTGGAAAGAACAACAGATCTAGCAGTAGGTTTCAACAGCAGTGATGTACGTACTGAGAAATGGTAAACTGTTATTTGCAGATACAAAAATATAGCATCAGATCCAAAGTGACAAATCGACTGTAGGAACATGAGTGCCCAGTTCACCTCAACAGTCACCTTCCAAAGTAACACTGCATACCTGAGGTTAACAACTTTTTAAAATGTTTTCAAGAACTACTCAAATAATTTACCTACTACCGGAGTTCGACACGCAACTGAAGGTGATGTGTCTGCAAAAAATGAGCTGGTCTGCTTTCTACTACTGTCATCTAAAATGTTAAGTGGGTCGTGGATGTCACTGTAGGGAGGCAGTGAGCGAACACTGCTGATGACAGAAACGTGTTGATTCACCATCGGTCCAAGTCTATGAGAATCTGGGTAGTTTACATTGTTTCCATAGTATCCTATAACAGAAAATGTGGAGAATGAACTGTTAACTTATTACAAAGAATATTTCAGGAAGGCAAAAAGGTTCAAGATGATAGGGTAGGGCCTAAAAATATCATGCTATAAATGTTACATTCACATCGACATTTACTATAGAGTTGGATTTCTACTTATATGTGGAATAGTTCACAATGCTGTTTTTTGTGGGGTTTTTTTTTTTTAAAAATACATAAGTTTTCTTACTATTAATTTTGAGATCTAACACTACATCGCTCTAGTAGCTCCCATATCTAAATTATCAAGATCTTCCTTTGAATGAAAAAAACACACACTATTAGCTTCTCACAAAGATTACACTACTTATCATATACTAATTTTATTTATAGATTCCTGTATCTGAAAGAACTTAGGAGAAGAGTCAGAGTCATCTATACACAGAGCTTAATTTGGTGACTCAAGAAGTCCACAGGTCTTTCTAACTCCTAACTTCAAGTGTTTTATCATCCTAAGAGGGGCACAGTTTTGGTCCTAATCTTTAAGATCTGCTGCTAGTTCTTTGGGAAAAAATTCTTCACTAAAAATGTTTTCAAAGGACAAAACATTCTTCTTTGGGGCTATTAAAATTGGTCTCAAACATATTTTTTTCATCACAGGTCATTTTAATAAAATCACAAGAATTAGGGATGTTTGTATGCAGCAGAAATTAGCTCCGAATGTCTAAGATTCCGTGATCTTCAGAAGGCTTACATGGGATGTCATGCTACTCAGCAGACTTGGAACTCAGTGCCTGATATGTCTTATTACCATCTCAAAAGCCAGGAAAACTCTTTTAAAAATTGTAATACCATTCGGTGAGTTAGGAGGCAGTGTTGCTCCTTGACAGCTGGCAGCCCCCGCGTTGCTCAGGAAATTGAAGCTTCCTGTATTTAAAAACTGCATACTGTGTGACTCCTGGCTGTGCGGGGATGGTCCATAGCTGGAAGGTGGCCGAGAATTATACGGGGACCCAGCACAGCTGCCACTGAAGAAGTCCCGAGAGAGCTGCTGGTCATTCCAGGCCATGCCCCGGCCGTGCTCCGTGCGATGAGGGTAGAGTCCCGGCGGGGGCTGAGGCTGCGCCCTAAACACAGCCTGGTAGTTGGAGGTGGTCCCATAAAAGCCATGGGTGGCTTGAGGAAGAGGAGGGTAAATGGGCTCTGGGTATGTGGAGCAGTGTGGCGGGCCTGACAGTACTGGGCCCACACTTGGGGGTCTCCCTGCCATTGGACCCTGGTTGATGACACTCCCTCGACTGGCCATGGCTGGAGAAATGGGTGGTGTCATCAGGTGACCAGCACTCTGGGAAAGTTCCATTTGACCTGGAAAGAAATTACCAGAGCATTCACTAGTGGCATATGGAAACAGATGGGCCATTTCTTTTAAAATTATCCAAAAGATTTATTATTATACCTTTTCGTAACTTGGTTCATTCCTACTCTCCCAAAACCACAAAACTGGGGAGCACCAAAAATTTAGGTTTAAAAAACACCACCACAATACATGTATATGTCAAGCAGTGGAGGCTTTTGGAGTTAGTGACTATGGAAGAAAGTCTGAGATGGCTTCATGCTTCCACAGGTATAAAGATGGTTAGAGCTCAAGCTAAGGGAGGAACAAAAGAGTCTGCTGTTCTCACTTCTCTGTAATTAAAACACAAGCTGAATGTTAACTGGTTTGATTTTTAGGGTAAAAGAAAAGGGCAATAAAGTCAGAATGACCATGGTTTTAAAGCAGCCAATTCAAAACATCATGCTGATGAGCAATGAGTTGTGCATGCCACCAGCTCCCTGGCCTCCAATGTCCCACGGGTGGAAGTAAGCTCTGGGACAATAAGGCTCTTCTGGGTTTAGAAGTCTGTGTGTTTAATGAAGTAATGTATGTACAAGGATTTCAAAAAAAGACATAAAGCAATAAGCAGACTTAAGGAATTATCTAGTAGCTGGTACAAGCCACTAAACGTTAAAACGGCTGAATCCACTTTTTAATGGAGGAGAAATAAAGTCTCCTCAAAAAATAAAAATAAATAGCAACCTTATTTTTAGGTTAGGTAAAATAGCACCTTTCCAATTTTATTTAAATTCTCAAAAATACTCTCAAAGCATTTTATGCACATCTAACCTAATTTTCTTCCACCAAATGAAGATAACTAATTATGTGTAATTCTGGCATAACTAGGAGAGCATGTTAAAGTGAGATACCTATGTTAACAATGGTATTGCTAAAAATGTGAGTAACAAATGCTAAAAATCATAAAAAAATTATAAACCCTTATTATAAGTCAGTTAAGGTAAGCCTTTTGTATTTTGGAGTGCCTGGAGTTTACCAATTTTAAGAAAGCAAAGGCAGAGCCCCCTGTGATGTGTACTGAGCCTGTTGATTTTCTTGGTTGTTTCCCAGCACACCTGTGAGTGTCACGTTGTCTGTATTGCCAGCAGGGAATGGGTGCAGAGCAGAGGTTAGGCCTCCAGATTGACCGGATGACAGAGGAAGATAGGCTGTTTCCACGTGGCTTTCATTCTTCACAGTGTCACTGGCAACGCTGCTCACCTTATTACGGTTTGCCAGAAAGCATGAACTCGGAGAAGCAGTGAAGGCAGCTTTACTTGCATCTGGAATGATTTTTTAAGATGGGAAAGTTAACATCATTCCCATATTCCTAGCAGAGAAGCCCAAGTAAAAGAAAACAAAAATATTTAGGGTTGTATCAGAAATCTGGAAACTCATGAGAAATGATTTCCATGGGAAACAAGGCTGTCAGCTCCTTGCTCTTGGCTGTGGTGCTGGTTTTAGTTACTGTATACTTGTGGATATAGGTGCATTCTGGGCAGCACTAAAAATAATCCACTCTGGCATGAACAGTCTTCAAAATGCAAGTCACCACATCCCAAATAGATGTGTTCCTTTCCCTCTCTAAATGACTAGAGAGCTTATTTCTACACCATTTATAAGATGGTATAATACATGCATTGTCTTGAATTACAGTTATTTTTTGGATTATAGCACCTCTCCAATTTTATCTAAATTCTCAAAACAACATTGATTTGTTTCCTTCAGAGTTTCCAGGAAAGTACTTTGAATACTCTATGGAAAAGAGTAGTCCCTAGAAAATTAAAAATAGGGCTCCATTAGTGTTAGTATACTGTGCTAGCAGTGACATGTTTGGGGTAAACTCTGAGACTGTTATAAACTCACTTAACATGTGCTTACAAATTCTTGAACTTAGGTTTAAACAAAGAAATATGCAAAACAACATATACATTTTAAATTACCTGAATTTTTCATGTACTTGTCCAATAAATTCTGTAACTCCTGCTCCTTGTCGTTATTAAACTGCGTCTCCATGGCCAGGAGAATGTACTCATCAAGAAGCATTCGGATCAAATGGAAGGAGCCTAGTTTATGGATGGGGCATGGGCAGAGGGCATTGTGAGACGAAATGAGAGGGAAGAGAAAGAGGGAGAGTCAAGTTATCTTGGTGACCATCTCGCAATACTTTACAAGGAGCAACTGAAATCAACAAATACTTGTTGGACTTTAAATGACCTGCAAAGACCAACATGCTTCACCCGGGTCTAATCTTTCTGTGCGCCGCCTGCCCAGCTCACTGTGTGTGCTGTCCTGCCAGCTCTCCGGCCACTAATTACATCAAAGGAAAATACGGATGAAAGTGAGACATGCTTTATGCTTTAAGAGGGCACACACTGGAGTGTGATAAGCTTTAACCTGGGAGAATAAGCTCTATTCTGCTCTATTTCTGTTTACTTTGTACTAAACAATTAGACAATGGCCAGCATGGTCTGGATAAAGTATCAAGTAAGAAGATGTCTCGACAGCCTGAAACAAAATACTCTTTGATTTGGGGGGGAAAAAGAGAGTAATTTTCATGTAGAAGTTATTCTGGAAAACCTTAAACTTTTTTTTAACTGTTCAACAGATTTTCCAACAAAAGTCTTTTTTTTCATAAAACACGTCGGGCTTCAATGTTGTATATTTTGAGAAACCTTAAATGTAAGCAGAGTAGTTCAAATATTAGACTCTACATTTTGTTCATTCCTCGATACAAGCTTGCTGATTTTATTTAATTCCATTGAAAATTAAATGAAAACAGCTTTTAGGTCATTGTAAACTACTTTATAACATAAAGATTTCTCAAACGCAACTACTAAGTGCAGAAGTTCTGTCCACTACATATCTTTATAACAATAAACTAAGAATCCCAGAAAACCTTTTTAGGAAAAAGAAGGTATTTCATTTTTGCAAAAGCTAACAACTCAATTTGCTTCATAAGTCACATAGCAGGAGAGATGGTTCAGAAACATGAGAGCGTGTCTTCTACGCTGCTCTTTAATTCCTGAAATGCAGCCACGTGGGTTCCTGAAACAGATGCAAACATTTGCCGTATCGTCGTGAGTAGTGCCTTTGGAAAATAATGTATCAGCTATTGTTTATTTGTTTGTTTAAGAAAAAGCATTTATCCAAGCACTGATGGAAAGTAATGATAATAGTTGATATTTATTACATGTTTACCGTTTACCTGGTGCTGGGCTATATTTATATTACTCAAGTGCCTACACAACTCAATGAAAGGAATGTTCTCCCCAAGCCCAAGCCAGAGAGAAGTGTTAGGATCGGACTCTGCATATGACCTGACTCTAAAACCCAGGTTCATAACTACCAGTCTCTACTGGCTCAATATTCAGGTTTGAGAAGTGACAATGCTGCATGTTTAAAAATGGATGGAAATGTGACTGGGGAACAAGTGATGTAATTCACTTAAGAAGAGTTGTATAAAGCACGTAGGATACCAAAACTGGATGCATTGTTCAAGGTGAGATTGTGCATTACTCGAGCACCAAAAAAGCTCCACTTCAGCAGAAAGTCTTGAGCCCTCTTCTTTAAGGATCTTCCATTTTGTTTGCTAGTCTAAAAGTAAAAGAATAAAACGGGACTATAAAATCTGTCATCTCATGACTACATGCATCCTACATAAGACCAAGAGGTAGATAACCTGTCTGACAGATGGACAGATGGCATGGCACGCCATTTGTTTCATCAAATAAAATGATCTGTCCAGGGATTTTCATTTTAGTCTGTCTTTGCTGTCATTTTTAAGGTCGATAGATCTTTATTCTGTAGGGTTTTGTTACCTAATAGAATTGGACAAGAAAATGAAAAAATTTACAAAATATTTTATCTCTTAATTTTATATTGACAGACCAGAAGGTGAAGTACGAAGGAAAGGCTATATATTTCTGTGAATGATTAACTCTGACTTCTCTGGTCCTGAATGATAATCTGTTTTCCTCCCAGGAAAAAAAAATCCCTACGCTATAACTAGTTTTCTTGATATGGAATGGCTAACATCGACCAGTGATGGATATATTTGTTCTCACTGTCTTGTTTCATGATGGATGACCTGAAGGTTAACTGAAGGAGTTGAAGGAACCACATAGAAAACACAAAATACTGAGCTCTTTGAATAAAAAAAAAGTTAATATTTAAAACCATATTTTCTGCTAGCATTTATGGAAACTTGCATTTTAGAAAAGGGCCAGAATCTTTCCAGTTTCTAAATTTATCTTTTACTACTGATGCTATTCAGCTGTAACTTTATTGACTCAGAGGGAAGTCATACAGCAGTCCCCATTTTTCCAAGGGGGATACATTCCAAGACCCACAGTGGTTGCTTGAAACTTTGGATAGCACCAAACCCTGTATATGCTAAGTTTTTTCCTGTACATACATTCCTATGAGAAAGTTTAATTTATAAATTAAGCACAGCAAGAGATTAACAATAATAAAATAGAATGCATAATAAACTGTAATAAGTTATGTAAATGTAGGCTCTCTCTTCCCTTCTCCCCTCCTCTCTTTTCTTCTCTCCCCCTCTTCCTCTCTCTCAAAATACCTTACTGTACTCTACTCATCTTTTCACTTAAAGGAAGCACTTTACACTTCTCTTCGGCATATCTGAATTGCCAGCATCACTACTCTTGCATTTGGGGGCCATTATTAAGTAAAATAAGGGCTACTTGAACACAAGCACTGCCATACGGACAGCCGATCTGCTAACCCAGTCAGCACTGTGACCGACAGCCGGAGCGCGGCGTAGGAGGGAAGAGTCCTGTCCTGACAGGACAGGGCGGGGCAGTGCAAGACTTCACCGTGCTACTCAGGGAAGAATTTAAAACTTGTGAATTGTTTATCTGTGGAATTTTTCACTTAATATTTTCAGACAGCTGTTGACCTGAGGTGACTGAAACCACGAAAAGCAAAACTGCAGGTAAGGAAAGACTACTGTAGTGTCTGTCTTACAGCCCTTCATCAAGAAAGGATCAATAGAATTGAATCTGTGCCCAATGCTCTCAAGTCTGGCATAGTCTTAATTTTGATATTAGGCTGCTCTTCAAGGCATTTTTACACACACACTGTCACCCCGCCCCCAGCAGTAAGAAATCACAGCCAGTTTAGCATTTATTATTAACAAAAAATGTAATGACTCTGTCATTGAAAAGTACCTTAATTACTCTCTGCTCCACCACAGTATCCAACCATTCAATGAAAGCCTCCACAGTGGCATTCTTCTTAAGGAGATCTTTCAGTTCTTGGAACACCGTAATGGAGTCATCTACCATGCATAAAAGAAAAAAAGCAGAATATTGCACTCTACTTTGAACACACGAGGAAACCTAAAACTTGGAATCATTAAAAATATTATATAATAAGCAGGAAAGACAGGTAGACTAAGTTAGATGTGTTAAAGGAATTCATTTCATACCCTGAGAACAGTAACAAAAAAATGCTTGGTACTTTAGTCTTCAAAATTGTAGTCATAAGTGTGTCTTGGTATATATTGACATAAAAGTTTAGAGATTAGATAAGTATGTTTATCCTCAGGAAGAGTAACTTGTCAATATAGTTGATAACTCATTTTGAATCCAATGCTTTCATTAAATGCAATGGCTTAGTTGAAAGCTAAGGATGAACTAAGCTTATTGATTTCCTGATCTGTGCAATATTATCTTCAGAAAAATTTAAATTCTGCACTGAAAACTGAGCCACTTACATGAATAATCTCTTAGCATGTACAATTTAGACTGTCAGTTTAAAATTATCATTTTATTAAAGAGTTCGAGGCTTCCTGAGTCTCAAAGGGTAATATAATTTTATGTTAAAAAATGGAAAGCAGGGCTAAGGTTGAACCATATCCAGAGAGCAATCCATTGCTGGTGCTATAGCCTATACAAGGCTGCATTTTTTGTCTTTTCAGAGAGATGGGAAGGGAGAAATGGTTGTTATCATTAGAAACCAAGCCTGGTTGTCTAGTCACGTATATTGGCTTGGTAAGCTCTGGCAGGTGGTACAAACCTGACCAGGGATTCTCTGCTTTGAAAAACAGTATTGTGCAGAGATACCATTTTGACATGCATCATACACTATAGATGCCAACAATGTTAAACACATGGAAATGTGTGTGCTTTAAACACTGGAAGAAAATTCACAAAACTCAATCAGGAACACATTTTGATTATTTCCGGATTATTTTATTTTGGTAATATCTAGGCAATAAGATTATGGATAACTTATTTTTCACTTAATATTTTCTAAATTAGCGAGTAAGTACAACTGTTTTAAAATATGGAATACTTTTCTAAATAAAAATGTTTCTAGCCCAGCTGGCATGGCTCAGCGGTTGAGTATCGATCTATGATCCAGGAGATCGTGGTTCAATTCCCGGTCAGGATGGATGGATGGATAGATAGATAGATAGATAGACAGACAGACAGACAGACAGATAGATTTACTGATTTCAGAAAGAGGAAGGGAGAAGGAGAGAGAGAGGTAGAAACATCAATGTAGAGTCATCATTGATCAGCTGCCTCCTGCACATCCCCAACTGGGGATCGAGCCCGCAACCTGGGCCTGTGCCCTGACCAGGAATTGAACTGTGATCTCCTGGATCCTAGGTCGATGCTCAACCACTGAGCCACACCCAGCTTGGCAACAAAGTTTTTTTTTAATGTTTCTATAAACCAGATTTCTCAAACAGGTAGGATTTTGTAGTACAAGGAGAGAACATTTGGCCATGTTTGGAGACATCTGTGGGTTGTCACAAATGGGGGAAGCTGCTGTTGGCATCTAGTGGGTAGAGACCAGGGATGCTGCTCAACATTCCACAAGGCACAGGACAGCCCCCAACAAAGAGTTATCCAGTCCAAGATGCCAACAGTGCCCAAGCTGGGAAACCCTGCTCAACAAAGAGAGGACTTACGTTCAGTGTAGATATCAGATTCAGTGTCTGTGCTCCCCGAAATGGTGAGCAGGGCCTGTGATCCAATACTATTCAAGTCCACCTTTTCAATATCCGATACCATAGAATTCACAACATGCTGGTCAAAGAGAGCTGGTCTGGCAATCTGTATAGAACGAGTTTTGAAAAATCACTGAACTATATTATTGGTATTCTACCTAAAGGGAAGTTTTAGCTTCTAGAGAAATATTTCCTTCAGGGAAAAGTATCATAAATGTTTTCTTGTTTAAAACTAAAAAGTAGTAACTAAGACTCATGATCATCCCTGTTAAAGGTTTGAAAACTATTTTTTACTTAGAAAATGAACTTTTTAATTCATAGTTATAAAATAAGGATTTTATGACATATTTCTTATCTGGAATTATTCCAAGCTAGTCTTTTAAAATTTAGGGAGCTAGAAACCTTCTTAAAGCAAGTGAGCACTTGAGGAGAGGGAAAGTATACTTCAACAATATGCAAACATGTTGTCTAATTTAAAAATTACTGTTTCCTTCTCTATTTAAGAAAAACTACTAAGAAGGTAGTTTTTAAATGTGTTGGTTTTGTGGGTTTCACTACATTAAATATTAAATATCACATGGGCTAATTTCTTTCAAACTTAATTTTTACTACTTAAATTCACGTGGCAAATAAGAGTTTTACATTTTACATTGCATTCAGAATTATGTTTTTAACTTTTATTTGAAAGTAATTATAATTTATAACAGTTGCAAAGTTAGTACAGAGTACAGCTGTCCTCGGTACCCACTGTTGTTGAACCCACAGATACGCAGGGCCAGCTGTATTTCCATATATTCTCTATCCAGCTTCTCCTAATAGTATCATCTTCATAACCATTTTATATTACCCAAATCAGGAAATTAACCTTGGTAAGACACTATCAACTAAACTATAGAAATAATTCTAATTTCATCAGTTTTTCCACTAATGTCTTTCCCCTGATCTAGGATCTCACAGCGCATTTAACTGTTGTCTACTTAGTCTCCAATCTCTGAAAGTTCCTTGGTCTTTGCTATAAGAAGGTTCATGTTTGAACTGGTGACTCAAATACCCTCGGCTTGCTAACATACCTGAGCAAGATGTAAGAAAGATGTTTGTCGTTTCAGAGAAGATACAAATCTTCGCACAATAGGTATTTTCTTGTCAGTCAGAGCTTCTGGCAAGTTTTCCAAGGATGAAACAACCCACTGTTCCCAATTTTTAGCAAAATTTCTTATGTCTGCTAATAAGCTACCAAAGGAAAAAAAGCCAATGTGTTAAATGCTAAGTTGTTCAAAATACATTAAATAAATGTAGTTTAATGGAGATATACAATTATTGCATGATTCTAAGAACATGACTTTTGAAGTCAGCCTATGGGTTGCCATTTGTCATCTTGCTCAATATATTCAATCTCCTCGAGCTCTAGTTTCCTCATCTGTCAAGTGGGAATAAAAATAGTATCCGTGTCACAAGATTTTTATGAGGATTATTTGAAATAATTTATGGCAAGTGCTTAGGTTAAAACCTGTCATGCACAGTATTCAATAAATAATTATTATCAATATTCATGATTCAATCATTTTCTATAAAATATTTCTGGGAAATGTAAGTGTGCACTTAATTTTGCATATCTTAGCTTCTTGAGAGCTCAGAAGCTCACACTGGAACCACAACATCATTTCAGGTATTTAATATTCATTTCTAGTAACATATTCTTATAATCCCAATATAACTGTGCAATAAATTACCAAAAATGTGCTAATTAGAGGACCCTATTTCAAAATTGCAAATGTTGGTTGTGTTTATACTACAAGAACATGTAAATTTTTTAAAATCAGTTAACAATCTCCTATTGTATCTCAATAAAACAGATTTAAATATATTTGGGGTGGTACTTAAGTTGAGGACAGAGACGTAGTACAAGAAAAAGAGTAGGCAGTTTGGAGTTAAATAAACTTTGATTAAAATATAGGCTGCCTCTAAATAACTAACTAAGCAAATAAATTTTATAAATATAAAATAATAAACAAATAAACTAACTTCTTTCTGCTCTGGGCTTCCTCATTTGTGAATTTAGGATCATAATCGTTACTTGGAATTGGGTTGATAAAGCTCCAATTGATAAGGAATTGGTTCAATAAAGTATAGTGTTTTTCAGTTGCTAGAAACTTATGCAACCATTTGAAAAGATAATGTTGATCTATATTGCTGATATGAAAAGATTTCACAGTATATTGCCACAGTGTGTATACTATGGTTTCACTTTTTAAAATGTACATATTTACAGTTATTCCTAGAAAACAGTCTGTGAGATAATAACTAAGACATTAAGAATATGATGAGATTATGAGTGATTTTTTTAACTTTAATTTAATTTTTGCCATCACTATGTATCCCCTTTATGTGCACTTACGTATGCTTTTCATTCTCCACAATGAACATGAATTGTTTGCAAACTTAAGAGATAAATCTACAGATAGTTCCTTTCAGGCTTATTGTGGGAGCTAAGTGAAATAATTTATGCAAAATCTCAAGTCCCCTGTTGTGTTTAATAAACATCAACAGTTATTACTATTAGTCACATGGCTGGATGCCTGCCACTGAGTTAGCAGAGCCATTCAGCTGTGACATGAAAATGTTAAGTGTATCTAATTCAGAGCACAAATTAGATGTTTAAAGACTGAAAATTGATATTTAAAAGAAACTATTGACCAGGCCAACATCAACTATTATATAGATAAATAAAAGAATCTACAGGAAAAGGTAAACTAAAAAGAAAATGTGTTTATCAATCAGCATGCATTTATTGAGCACCAACTTTGTCCAGCTCTACATGTATTTGTCCCCCAAAATACTAAAATAAATTTCATTATTTAATTAGACTTTGTTTTCAAAGAAAAATTTGGCTTTTTTTTTCCAAGTTTTTATTGGTTCTCACATTAGAAAAGGCCTTGTGAAAAATCTCCAGGTGTCATCTCAATAAACTACTCAAGACCTTGTTCCTTTATTGAAAGAAGGCAGTAATTCCCTTATGCCGTTCCTGATTTTGCAATTAAGAACAAGGTTAATAATAAAGATTAAAATGTTTTCTTATAATTTTTATTATAGTTGTTATTTTCCATCAATTATCCTCATCTATTTTCACCTAGCCAGTTTCCATTAAAAAACTTGCTCAGTGTCTTGAAGGTCAACCACCCTTAAATACTTATTTTTCACTTGGGCTGCTCTCAAATTAAAGGGACTTCAGGATTGTTCCATCAATTTTGTTTATTAAAGTTTGGCTATATATAAAGACTGAGGCACACCCCTTCTAGCTAAACCAAAGAGAAAGGAACAGGAAACTAATCTTGATAAATGAATGAATTTCTAATTACTGTTTTCCTTTAATGTAATGTATAATGTTAAACCCTTTACCAAGAAACTATCATATTTTATTGACTGAACCTACCTTTCAGGCATTTCTTGCATTGTTGCAGGAATGAGTACATCTGTAAGAACCTTAATCACAGCAAAAGAGAGTTAACAAAAATACTTACTATTTCTATAGAAAGACACATTATTTGTCAATTACTTTTATTTCTAGCTTTCAAAAGAATAACATGTTAACTCATTTCTGAAAGGTATACTTTGATCTCTAAAATGAATATATGTATGAGTTGTGTGTGTGTGTGTGTGTGTATAAAAGGCAGGGGAAGGGGGAGATCTAAAATCATTGCAATTACTAGGTTAAGCAGTTGACACTGATATACTAATTATAAGAACAGAAAGAGCTAATTATAAGAACGGAAAGAGTACTGAAAAGAAAGGGCTAGACTGAGCCCTAAACATGGATGAGATGAAAAGTAGTAGAAAGGAGAAATTAGATAGTGCTGACTGATTCCAGCTCAGGAAAAACTCTGATGAATAAAGGAAGTTGGAAACCGGACAGAATAGGAGCAGTGCAGACCCACTAGGCTGGCTAGACACTTAGTGGGCCAGCCTGCAGAAGAAGAACAAGGGGTCTACAGAGATGCTTCAAAATGTGGGTAGACACCAGTCTACAAAAGCCTGTGTGGCAAAACACACATAGTCCCTGTGTATGGGACAGTGAAACAAAGGACAGCATGGTCTATGCTCCGTACGCTAGTCACTGATGGGCTGGCCTTGTAACCGTGCGCTGTTTCAGGGACTCAGCGCTGGAACCACTCTCTACTGCTCCATTTACAGGGCTCACGCTGCTCCCCGAGTCTCTGTGAAGAAGAGACACTTAGTTCACTTAAAGGTACTTAAGCCCGGATCTTTGCGCTGGACTCAAAGAAACAGTCCATTTGAAGAGGGGAAAAGACGCAAAGTTGCTTCTGGACTGAGTCTATTTCGCTTCTGCTTCATTTCTCTGCAACTAGCTTAGAACGGCTTCATTTCCTTGATGCGTAACAGGGTGTTGGCTTGGGTTTTCTTGCTAACTCAGATTGTTTTTTAAAAGGAAAGCTTCTCTTTAATCTTATGACAGTTGAACAGGTAAATGTAGGCAAACTCACTTTGAAGTACCCAGACTGCAATATAGTTTTCCCCTCGGCTTGGACCCTGCTGCTCCTCTAATTAGAGAACAGACTGTGGGGAACTAGCCTCTCTCTCTCCCTTCCTGCTGAATGTTTGGCTAGAAGGCCAACCAGCTTATCACGTCTTTGTCCAGGATGTCTTCATGATCCTTCTGGAGACACTTGGGGACTCTTATTTGGTTTGAAAACAGAAATAACATTACACATTAAAGCTAGGGAGTTTCAAGATTTTCAAGTTATTAGTCCTGTGGGAGTGCTTAATTCTGCTTTTTTCCCAAAACACTGATATTGTGAGGGGGGAGAGGGGGACATTGTGCTATTTAGTCTAAAAATACCTTAGTTAATACAAATTAACTAAGTTCCCATGTATTAGTATGTAACATTTAGAATTGTTCTTAGCTGTAAACAAAAATTGATTTTGTTTTACTTAATGTAAAATACGTTAAAATACATACGCTATTAAACATACACTATTAAACTGCTTGATTTCTCTTCAGAAAAAATAACTAATTGTGTTTCTCCAGACAGAAATAACAAATTTATTGAAAACATATTGCAAAAATGTAGATGGAATGCTCCTAAAAGAAATCTATAATTTGTGTTTAAGAGAGCCCAAAGAGCTTACCTTATAAAGAATTGAGTCACAGACACAGAAAATGTCAATGATAACAGGGTTTTCAAGCAGGGGGAGAAGGTGATCAGGCATCCCTTGCCAAAAGTGTAATAAGAAATGCTGGATCTAGTTGCAGAGCAAAGATTACATACATTAAGATTTTTGCTTCAACTCATAAAAGAATGGAACAAGAAAGTATAATATGGTCAGCAAAGCATTTTTGGCCACTCTTACCTCCTCAAAGTTTCCATTAATTGCATTGTCCAGGATGCACTGGCAGTGAGTTTTGTACATCATTATGAGGGTATCAACCTATTTCAAGGAAGAAAAAGCTTAACCACAGCACTGCCTCCATTTGTTCATGCATTCAACACACATTTATAAAGCTCCTCTCATATAACAGGCATTGTGCTCAATGCTGAGGAGTCAAAAATAAAGGAAAAATTTCTTATTTTGAGGAGCTTACTGCCTTGTGAAGGGAGAAGGGCAAGCACTGTGTGATTATAGAACAGGGCCATGGAACAGTGATAAAGGCGATTGTGAGGGACATATGGGCCAAAGCAACATTGTGATTTTCTGTTCAATAAGAAAATTACCTTTGATTGTAGAAATTAGTGTAAAATGGTAAAATACACCAACCCTTCAACTTTAAGTTTTATTAAGTGGGTGCTTGGGCAGTGTGGTGTAGTGGTTTCCAGCTTCAGTTCTAGAGTCGGTTAAACTTGAGTGCCCAGTTCCACTCCACTTCTTACCAGGTGTGACTTTCCACATGTTTCTCAGTCTCTGAACCTCAGGCTTTCTATCTTTACGTAGAGCAGTAATAACATAGTGCTAATATGGTGTTAAGAAGATTAAATAAGAAGAGATACACATGGAACAGTGCTTACACTGAGATACACAGTAACACCTTACTAAATATTACCTGAAATTAGTAATAATATCAAATCACTCCTCTGCCCAAAAAGAGTTTGGACACTGAATGTCTATTATGAAAAGCCTCTGTTTTTGTGTTAGCATAGATATTTATATTGCATAAAGTTTTTAAATGTATTTTAAAATTTGGAATGGATTAAAATTAGATAATATTCTGGCAATTTATTAATATTCAAATTCAAAACTATTTGATAAGCTAGAATTGTCCCTACCTGTTACCGGTTGTATGGTTTATGTGAACAGGACCATGGCTTAGAGGTCCCCTCTCTCTCACCAGGTATATTTACACAAGCAAACATCTTTATAATGTTTTCATGTCAGCAATCCTCTCCACAAAGATATTCAACCACACCCTCCCCCAAAGAACCGTGTTCCGGGGGGTGCCACTGATTTCTACAGGTGTCCCCACAAACTGCCACATGTTAACATTTACTGGAGCTATCTCAAATCTGAAGTCACCACATAATGTAAAAAAAAATGATGCAGTAATCTTGATAAATATGATGGGAGAGGAGAATAGGAGAAAGTGGACACACTTCAGGAAACTTGCCTGGAATTGGCATTTGAGAATAACCTTCAGTTATTAACCCAGAGAATGTCTGTCATCAGAATGAACCCTGGAAGTTACTGTGCATGTCCACTTAGCTATCAGTAGATTTCTTATCAATGTGTTATTTTCATTTCTGGTTTCTACAGAAAGCCCGTTACTAAAGGAATACAACTGGACATTAGTTCATCATAGTCCTCTATCTTTGCACCTCAAAATATGACCTGATAAGATACTATCAAAGGTGTTTTCTTCAAGTGCTAATGAAAAATGAACTTTAGTTAAAAAAGAATGTAGAAATTATGTCCTGGTTTAAAAATAGATTCTATTAGTCAGCTAGTAGGACTAAAAAAAATGACTTTAGAAATTCAGAAATAGAGAATTTAGCCACACACTTTATTACATAAGCACTGAAAAAAAATCATGTTGAGGATTATTTACAAACTGAATCCTATGAAAAATTTTTCTTCCTTAAATTTCAAAAAAACTTGCAAATGTCACAGAACCAAGAATTTTAGAATTGAAAAGAAGCTTTGTGATCAAGCGTATGTCGATGCATTCACCAAGGTACCTCCCCTCAGTGCTAGAAACAGATTCTGTCCTAGAGAAGTGCATGGTGACTATTTACAGAAATTAAATGGAGTTAATAAAAAAACATAAAGCGTATAATTTAAAAAATTGCATGCAATAGATACATTCTAGTATTTTCTTCCTTAACACTGAGTTTTAAATAAAAATAATCTTTAGTCTTGTAAGGTTTATTTTACCAACTCCTGATTAGGTACTATCATGGAGATGGTAAATAATTAATTGGACAGTGTTTAATCGATGTTAGTAAACACTTGTCCCTCCTATAAATCAGTCCATTATGTTTGATTATGCAGATTTCTGACTGCTTCCTGCAAGTGCCAGGAGATTCCTAGCAAAGCGAGATATGGAACCAACATATCAGAAAATCAATAGAGAAGTAGCTTTAATTGGTACCTTTTCTTTAGAAATGCATCCTTGGTACACAAGGTGTTGAGCACTGGGGAATTCCGGAAGAAGTGTTCCAGTTTTTGAGCTAAGTGAATATTTACGAGTGAAGCCACCCTATAATTTAGAAAAATGAAAATAAAGTCATTTATAAAAAATACAGTTTTAATAAAAAAGAAGCCCATAAAATTTCATTCTTCTTTATCCTGAAAGCCATGAGAAAGTCAAGATTCAGGTAAATTGTTTAAATTGTGTAACTGAATAAATGTGTCAGTAGAATTATTGTTTCCAAATTGTAAATAGTTTCATAGTCGGGATAAATTTTCCATTATTTTGGATTTTAGTTTTGAACATTCTTCAATTTTCACAACTCTTAGAAATTTTAGTTCACATTTGTTAAGAGCAAAAATTTTGAAAGGTCTACTTTTAGAACTATTGAAATTATTTTAACTATGAGAGAATAAAAAATTAACAGATCTGCCTGGCCGGTGTTGCTCAGTGGCTGAGCATTGACCTAGGATCCCGGAGATCGGGGTTCAATTCCCCGTCAGGGCACAGGCCCAGGTTGCGGGCTCGATCCCCAGTGGGGGACATGCAGGGGGCAGCCGATCAATGACTCTCATCATTGAGGTTTCTGTCTCTCCCTCTCCCTCTCCCTTCCTCTCTCTGAAATCAATATATATATATTTTTTAAAAAGGCCAGATCCAGCTTCCTCACTTACAAATTAAGTAAATGAGCAAAGTTATTTATTTACTCAGTCTCAGAGATAATTAGCGATAGAATTTTGATTAGAGCCTGTCTTCTAATCCCCAAACTGGTACTCTGGACTTTCCCACCGCAATCTTCCCCCACCCAAAGTGCAGATATTTGTTCTTTTGAGTCTCTTGGGGAAAACACATCCCTATCAGGTTTTAGATTTTAGCTTTGTTAACCTCTAATTTCAAGTTTAGATAAGAAAAGGATTAATCTACTTAAATAATTTTTAATAAATGAATAAAGATCTAATATATAAATAACTATCATAAACTGATATAATAACACAGTTTATCCTAATTCACTGTATTTAATCAGCCTTAATAATTTTAGATATACTTCAAAGGGTTTCAGCGCTTTGGATTTGTCATTTATGAGCACCAATTATCATTGCATTAGCAAACAATATTACTGTTAATAAAAAGGGAAAATAATAAGATGTGAGAAAATAAAGATTTTAATTTTACAGGAAAGAAAAGGCTTGGCAAGATATAAAAGTATTATTTGATAAACATAACAAAAATATGCCTAAGTTCTAATTTTAGGAGAGTTTATACTTTTTTATACTTTTTCTCTTGGGTAGAAAATCATATTTATTCATCCAAAGATGTAATTTGTGAGATGGAAAAGTGAGACAGGAATATAAACCAAAAAAATGGCAATGCATAATGTTGTATTAAATTAAAATTAAGGATTGAGAATAGTCTCACTTCTATAAACAAAATTAGTTATCAAAAATTTTTTCACAAAGAAAATAAAAATAGGCCTAGAAGATTTAATAGGTGAGTTTTATAAAGCATTCAGGAAACAAATAATTTCAAATTTAAAACAATTTTTCAAACCATAGGAAAAAAGGACCATTTCCCAATTCATTTGAGACATTTATGCCAAAACTAGACAAGGACAGAAAAAGAAGGAACATTTTTGGACCAGCATTGCCTTTAAGCATAAACTGCAGTGAATTTAGGTCAGTCTCCGCTCTGAGCTCAGCAGCAGCTACCGTCCTCCACACCCAGCCCTGCGGCAGGCAGTGCACAAGATGCCCACATAAAATCCTGGACAAACCTTTACTAGCGCCACACACAAAAGTAACCAAACTGATCAAAGACCTGATTATAAGACCTAATACCATAAGGCTCTTAGAAGAAAATGGCAAAAGTTTCGCAACATTGGATCTGACAATGATTTCTTGGATATGACACCAAAGGAACAGGCAACTAAAGGTAAATAGACAAATTGGACTTCACAAAACATTTAAAACTTTTCTGCATCAAAGAACACTATCAACAGAGTGAAAAGGCCATCCATGGAATGGGAGAAGGCATTTACAAGTCATATTTGATAAGGGATTAATCTCCAGAATACACAGAAAATTCCTAAAACTCAACAACAAAAACACAACTCTATTCAAAAGTGGGCAAAGGACATGAATAGATATTTCTCCAAAAAAGGTATCAATAGTCAACAAGCACATGAAAAGATATTCAGCATTACTAATAATTAGGGAAATGCAAATCAAAACCACAACAAGATATCACTTTGCACCCGTTAAAACAGCTAGAATAAAAAGAAGGAACAGAAAAGTGTTAGTGAGGATGTGGAGAAACTGGAAATCTTGAGCACTGTTGATGGGAATGTAAAATGGTAGAGCTGGTGTGTTAAACAGTTTGGAGGCTTCTCAAAAAATTAAAAGTAGAATTCGTATTTGACACAATTACTATATGCAATTATTCTTCTGGGTATATACCCACAAAAGTTAACAGCAGGGTCTGGAAGATATATTTGTACACCCACGTTCATAGCAGCATTATTCATAATAGCTAAACCAGGAAAGCAACCGATGTCCACTGACAGATGAATGAATAAGTAAAATGTATATATGTACAATGGAATATTATTCAGCCTTAAGAAGGAAAAAAGTCTGGCAAACGCTACAACATGGATGAACCTTAAGGACATTATGCTAAATAAAATAAGCCAGTCACAGAAATACAAAAGCTGTATGATTCCACTTATATGAGGTATCTAGAGTTGTCACAATCACAGAGACAGCAAACAGAATGGTGTTTTTCAGGGGCTGGGAAAAGGGGAGATGGGGATTTAATGTTTAATGACTCCAGAGTTTCAGTTTTGCTCAGTTAAATGAGTTTTAGAGGCAGATAATGGTGATGGTTGTACAACAATATGAATACACTTAATGCCACTAAGTATATACTTAAAAATGATTAAGATAGTAAATTTTATGTTATGTGTATTTTAGAACAATAAGAAAAACAGAAAAAAATCATGATGCAATAAGAACTTAAATGTTAAGAGCAACTTTATGCTTTTAGAAGAATATGTAGAAAAATGTATTTATGTTTTGGAATATACACAAACTTTAACACACAAGATACAAAAAAACACTAACCATAAAAATTTTTAACCTTCATCAAAAGACACTATAGAAAGCCGTCATGCCACCAACAGGGGGAAGTTTTTTACAACACATAACCTACAGGATATTAGTAACCAGAATATATTTTAAAACAATCAAGAATCAAATTCTTAAAACAGAAAAATTATGTGATCAGAACAAATATATCATAGAAGAGAACTGGCAATAAAAACCCAAAAAGATATTCAAGCTCACTTTTTGTGTAGTTATCAGAAACAGTTTTCAAATGAAACCATAAACAACATTTTGCACTCACTGGATTGACAAAAACTAAAATGTCATTCAATACCAAATGTCTCTGAGAATATAAAGCACAGGAATGCTCACACTCACCTGGAGAGACATAAGTTGATATAAGCATTTTTGGAAAACAATTTGACATTAACTAATAAAGTTAAACATAAGCATATCCTAGGACTCAGAATTCCACTCCAGCACATGTGCACTTGAAAAATGTTCATAGCAATATTGTTTATCAAGCAAAAAAAATTCTACCAACAATGGAAAAACTAAATGCATTGTGATATGATATTTTATACAATGTAATATTATACAGCAGTACAAATAAAAGTCCCAGAACTACATGTATTAACATTGATGAATCATAAAACCTAATATTGAATGAAACCAGAAAGTCACAGAAGAAAATGAATCCATTTCTATGTAGCACAAATAATAAACAATACATTGGTGATAATAAACTGGGCAATAATAAACAATACATAAAATTTACTACCTTAATCATTTTTAATGAAACACTTCAATAGTATTAAGTACATTCATATCGTTATGTAATCATCACCATGTGATTAGTTCATAAGTGATAAACTTTAAGGAAAAACAAAGGAGGGATTAAGACCAAATTCTGGAGAGCAGCACATTTTGGTAGGTAGGGTGAGGGAAGAGGTTGGGGTGCAAGCACATGGAGAACTTCTCTCTTTTAAGCTATGAGGTAGGTCTTCGGTTTTCATCTTATGATTATTTTTAAAATTGTGTATGTGTTTCAAAAATACATTTCCCAATAAAAATTTTAGAGTGTTAAGGAAACACATATTAAGGAACAAAATATATGTTTTATTTGAATACTTACTTAATACTCCATGTAGATAAATATTATTTTGGGTAATAAGCTAACAATTATGTATAAAGTTGGTATAAATCAAATAATAATATCTGTCAAGAAAATGAAACAGACAAAAGGAGGGATAGATAAATTGGAATAAAAAATAAAATATAATCATTTTGTTTCCAGTAATATGTTTGCTACTTTAACTGTACTACAAGGTGTCAGATTGAAGGCCAGCTACAGAGGTCGAGATCTCTTTTTCTTTTCTTTTCTTTCTTCCTTTTTTTTTTTTTTTTTTTTTTTT